ATATCTCCAAAGCATGATGTGAACCAGAAACATTATGACTTGAAACCTTGCCTCCTATTTTTCACATGACTCCTGGCCATCATATGAAAGTAATTGATAAAGCCCTTCATCCATGAGCTTCCCTCGAAGAAGAAGTGTTCTGGTCTGAGCATCCTTCACAAAACACTCAGAAGCATGAAATTCAGGAAAAACATCATTATCATGCGTGAACTGTGAGACAGACAATAATTTCTTCTTAATATTAGGAACGTGTAATATATTTTGTAAAATTAAGGGTTTTAACTTGTAAATAAGAATCCTTGACCAACATGATCGATTTTAACCCCCTCACCGTTACCCATGAGCAAAGCATTGACACCAATGTAAACTGTACCTGAGTTAAACACAGATAGGTCATTTAAGATATGATGCGTAGCACCGTATCTGGATACCAACAGTATCTAGAGGTATCGATGATGAGTGAGATGAATTATAGAAATCAACTGAGTTTGAACACTGCAGGTGCTGAGGAAGCAAACGATTGCTGCCCAGAAGAACTGGGAACAGAGTTATTCAACAAGTCCTTGGAGTAAACACCACTAGAAGATACAGGAAACTGATAATATCCTGAAGCATGAGGAACACCAGTCATTCCTGGAAAACCATAATCAGTCGAGTAAAAAATTGGTGAGTGTGAATAAGGAACAAACGGGTGGGGAACATGCGAGAAAGGCTTAATCGTATGAGAAAACACTTGTCCTCCAGATCGTTGTTTAACTGGATTCAGTCGATCAAACTGTTTCTGTAAATCACCAGTTAGATCCTCACCTCCATTCACACTAGTGAAATCACGATCAAAACAATGATAACACTTTTGTACCACATGGCCAAACTTACCACACAATTGGCATTGAGATATGTATGAACTCTGTCCTCGACCACGATAACCACCAACTTATTGGTCTTGAGTCTAACTCAAACGCAGTTGTGATGCATTATTTTCTTTAGCATCTAATTCAACATTATTTGCCACATTGGATAAGCAAGTCAAGTTAGTCGTAACGCCTTCATTCAAAAAGATTTTCTGCTGAGCCTCACAATCCAACAACATATCAGTTAGAACTTCTAACGAAAAATTCTCACGAGATGCAATGGCAATGATTGACTCAAACTCCATTGAGAGACCAACAAAAACAACGCTCACATGCTCCTACTCAGTGGCAACACTACCTGATGCATTACGTAAATCGCAAATATATTTAATCTTTGTAAAGTACTCACTAATAGTCAAACCAGACTTCCTTTGAGAATATAAACTATGCCTGAGAGATGAAATCTTGGCAGCAGATCAAGCACCAAACAACTTAGAAACAACATACCAAATGGAAGAAGCCGTTGTAAAACCAGTATGATGATGAAGAACCTCAGTACTGATTGTGGTGAGTAGCCAAGAAGCTAACAACTTATCTTGCTGCCTATGAATCAAGAACGCCGGATTAACCTCAAGCTAACTTGTCACACTTGTGACAAATTCATCTGGTAGAACTGCATCATTGGAAAGAAAACTTATCAACCTATAACCATAAACTATCAAAGCAACTTGATGCTTTCAAAGAAGATAGGTACTCTCGGTAAACTTGACACTATCATGCTTGGAATATACTGAACCGCATTAATCCCTAAAGAACTGTCACCGAGCTCATAGGAGAGTTATCTGGAAACACAGTTTTAGCACCTCGAACCGGATCTGCAGCTAGATCAACCATGTTAAAAAAGACACAAAACATAAACTAGATCTTCAAACCTTAACCCAGTTACCAACTCACTGAAACCACCACACACTAGAACAAGATTAACATCGGAAGAAACGACCACCAAGATTAATGAATAATAGCATGATAAGATTCTTAAACTCAACTTAATGAATAAAGAATAGAGAAGATAAGAGAGAAGAGACTCTCTAAACCTTGTTAATGAAAACTATATCTTAAGTCTTTACAACCATACCTTACTTATAGCTACATGAGTACACAACCTAACTACAACAGAATGCATAACAGAAACCTTCATAACAGAAAACCTAACAAACTCATCCTAACCAACTCATAACCGATTGTATAATAGAAACCTATTAAATTAATCAATCTTCTGTGCATTCTCACATACTCTCAACATCGATTGTTCTAGTGGGATGAGACATTAGATCCCTTAAATAAGATCAGAGGTTTGAATCCCGATGATTGCGAATGGAGCAAATTGAGTTGGGAGGGTCACCCTTGGCTCTGTAGTACATGATCTAGATTAATCGATCAATAAATCAGAAATCAATGGTTATACCGAAAAATATTTAAAGTGATTGTAGTGAAATTAGATGATAAAAAGTATTTTGTAAATTTTAACTTTAAACGTGTAGTTGTGGTGAAATTTGAAATAGTTAAACGTATTTTTAAAAATTTTAATTTTAAACTTGTGAATGTGGTGAAACTAGAAAAGATTTAATAGGAATTCTTTGGACGATTTTATCCCTATCTCACATCTATAGAAAAAAAGATAGACCAATGTTTACTTGTATTCACTCATCTAAATATTATTTTTTATCCTTCATTTCTCAAGCAACAATCATTTTTCTTTTCCCGAGATAATTCAATTATAGATTATGAGTAATCAATTGAGTTACAACTTTCTCTTTCGGGTGTATAAAAATTAGGAAGAATTATGTTAACCTTGAGGAGTGATCATCTATTTTGCGATTACATTGGTCAAGCAAATTCACTTATAAGGACAATGGACAACCAAGTCGCAATTACGTATTCTACTTTTAAGTTTTGTTATCTTGTAATCTATTTACGATATTTATTTCTTACAATTTAAAAGAGAATTCTATCTATTGAACATGTTCAAAACCCTCCAAATTTAGTTTACCTTTTAACAGTTTCATTAAATAATTAAATATAAAATAATAATATTTTATTTTTTATAAAATTTCTAACGTGACACTGCCACATCATACGTACCATGAGTTGGACAAGCCACATCAACATCTCCGTCTACGTGTATGTGCTTGGTTAGCATTAGATGTTGACCATTAGTTGACTAACGATTTTCATCCATTGAGGGTATTTTTGACCCAAAATGAAATGTTGAGGGGTCAAATGTGTCAAAAAAATAATAAGGGTAAATTTGATAATACTGTCAAACGTTAGAATTATTTTGTTGCATTATGTCTTTAATAAAGTGATCATAAGTTTAGAAAACTCAAATGAAAGTGACTATTTGTATAGTTTATCCTATTATCATGAATAAAGCAATTAAGCGTTACTAATTTGCCTCACTGTTACCGTTGGCAAGCATCGTGCAAAACCAATGTTATTAAAATCGGACCGGACCGGTCGGTTCGACCGATTGAACCGTGAACCGATGGCCTGTCTGGTCCGGTTAACTCCCAAAATCGAATGTGGTGAATTTGAAATAGTTAAACGTATTTTTAAAATTTTAATTTAAACTTGTGAATGTGGTGTGAAACTAGAAAAGATTTAATAGGAATTCTTTGGACGATTTTATCCCTATCTCACATCTATAGAGAAAAAGATAGACCAATGTTTATTTGTATTCACTCATCTAAATATTATTTTTTATCCTTCATTTCTCAAGCAACAATCATTTTTCTTTTCCCGAGTTCGACAATAATTCAATTATAGATTATGAGTAATCAATTGAGTTACAACTTTCTCTTTCGGTGTATAAAAAATTTAGGAAGAATTATGTTAACCTTGAGGAGTGATCATCTATTTTGCGATTACATTGGTCAAGCAAATTCACTTATAAGACCATGGACAACCAAGTCGCAATTACGTATTCTACTTTTAAGTTTTGTTATCTTGTAATCTATTTACGATATTTATTTCTTACAATTTAAAGAGAATTCTATCTATTGAACATGTTCAAAACCCTCCAAATTTAGTTTACCTTTAACAGTTTCATTAAATAATTAAATATAAAATAATAATATTTTATTTTTTTTATAAAATTTCTAACGTGACACTGCCACATCATACATACCTGAGTTGGACAAGCCACATCAACATCTCCGTCTACGTGTATGTGCTTGGTTAGCATTAGATGTGACCATTAGTTGACTAACGTTTCCATCCATTGAGGGGTATTTTTGACCCAAAATGAAATGTTGAGGGGCAATGTGTCAAAAAAAATAATAAGGGTAAATTTGATAATACTGTCAAACGTTAGAATTATTTTGTTGCATTAGTCTTTAATAAAGTGATCATAAGTTTAGAAAACTCAAATGAAAGTGACTATTTGTATAGTTTATCCTATTATCATTAATAAAGCAATTAAGCGTTACTAATTTGCCTCACTGTTACCGTTGGCAAGCATCGTGCAAAACTACGACCATTAAAAGTTAAAACCCCGTATCCCGCCCTAATTTAAAAAAAAAAACAATTACTTCGAGAGTTCAAAGAAAAGGAGAATCGACGGATCCAAATTAAGCAAATTCTCTCGAGGGATCGAATCAAAGTCAAGAATCTTCAGATCGAAATCAAGCAATTTCACAGAGATTGATTCGGTGAGTTAGTTTTTAATTCTCTTTTATCAACTAAGGCGGGTGAAATATATTTAGGGTTATTTGTTTTCTATGGGGGAATTAATGATCTATGGTTTCTATAATTTCCCCGAGTGAAAAAAATTCAGAGTATGAGAAAATTAATTTGAACTTGTTTGAATTAGTTGTCATTTGGGACTATCCAAGAAGTTAAGTTTTGGGTTCTGATGGTTTTTATCTGTTATGGTGTTTTCCTTTAGTTTGTTTAGTTTTATGATAGGGTTTGTGCTGTAATCTTCACACTAGTCTAGCCAATATCTATGCCATTAGGACTCCGGTGTACGGATATTTGTATGATGCAATTGTTTTGTTGATCTGGATGTTGCACACCTCTTACACAATCTCATACCTTGATTTTTCTTCCTCTTTTGGATCATTGCACATCTCACAGGTATAATAAGCGGATCTGTTTCTTCCATAATTTGCTCAGATGGCACTGCGTACTGTTGGTCTGATTGGAGATCAGAATATAAATGTTCACTACAATGGTACTATTCCCAAAACTTTCTTTTCTGTTTTTAGTTTTTTGTTTTTCGGTTGAATTTGATAACTGAAAGTGCAATCTCCAGGTGCTTCTGTTGTAAGCAAGGAAAATATGGCTACTGCACCGAGGAAAGGCGGTATTGGTGGCAGGAAGGCTCTCCGAGATATTTCAAACTCGGGTAAGACAACCTTGAAGGAGACATCAAAGAAGAGTCAACCCTTGAAGGAGAACTCTAAAGTCCTTGCTTTCACTGAGAAAGAGACCACTGTCTCAAAAATCACTCGTGGTTCAAGCAATACAAAGAGTGCCTCCAAAGCCTCAGAGAAAGTGCAAGTTGGTGCCCGGAAAGCTCTCTGCGATATTTCAAACTCGATGTTTACCATTTCGGAGGAGAATCCTCCTCCAATTGAAATGCACAATCATGATGAATGTATCAAAGCTCAGGAAACTATAAGAAGGAAAGAGTTTTTGCAGATATTTGGATTAGAAGGTAAATAAAATTGTTACATTTTCAGATGACTATTATGATTTAGTTTCTGGTTGAATACCTACATTTTTCATGGTCTGAAGATGAAGATGAAGATAAAGATGAATGGTACAGATCTGAAGATGAAGATGAAGAGATGACTGATCTGCTGATCAAAGATTGGTCTCCACCGAAGCATATGATCAAAGATTGGTACTCTGCCCCACCTAGACCTAGTCCAAAGCTAATGGATTGTTAGATCTAGTGGAATTTGACTCGTTTCATGACTGGGATCCCACTTACGAGTTGAAGTTGATCGGATCACCATGATGGGTGAGAGCATTGTTTTCTTTGCTTCTTGTATGTTATTTTGTTGAATCGAGTGCTACATTTTACATGGGTTAGGGATGACAATGGGTTGAAAATACCTTTGGTTTTTTACTTGGCATTGCTGAAAATTGATTTCCACAACGCAGCATCTACTTTACAAATGGTTTTATGTGTGATATTTTAAATATATAATATTTTCATTCTAAATGGAGAGTTTTGTCTTCGGTAAAACTCAAAACTCTCCATTTTGAGAAAATGAATGAAAACTTTTATGATGGTCCATGATGACGTGGCAATCTTTAAATAGGATTGGTTTATGTGAGTGATTAAATGTTTCGTATGTTTTACATTATTAAGATATAATAGTGTTTTCTTAAGAAACATAACAATGGCATGAATTTATAAAATATAGTAAAAAAGTAATTTAATCACTTAACTTTTAAATTATTTTTATTTCATCACTCAATCGGAGTTGTCAACTCATATTCCGACTATCACACATCACTATTTCTCATTGCAATTGGACAAGTAGAATGAAGTAAAATGATCTTATTGGAAGTAATTCAAAATTTCTAAGTACTGAAAAACATTTTTAGTTAATGCCATAGAAATATAATGCAACAATCACTTAACGAATTATTCAAAAATATTCAGTTGTTACATCTATTATATGCATAAGACAACTGACAAGCAAGGATCAAATTGCATAAATTGAAAGTTCTAGGGTCTTTGATGTATTCTACCTATCATATAAATTTTGCTTATTACACTTGTACAATAAAAAAAGATTTATTATTTCACATAATTTAATCAGCAATGTACAACATTGCACTACCATTAACTATTCTAATTCAACCCTTGAGTGATTCCGATGGTTAAAAGTAATATTGTTCTTCTTTGAAATTTTAGATTTAAACAGTTGTATCTGTAGGGTAATGTGAGTTATCAATAATTAATAAAAATTATGAGCAAATATTACCTTATAATCACTCCAAACTATTGAAAAAACGTATTAAAATTCAATTGAAGGATGGTAATCCACTAGGTGAGTTATTAGTACTATTTTACAACACTTTTACTATGCCTTTATGATTGCATTTTTACCTCCACAACATGGTGTATCAAGCATGCTTTTACAATATCAAACCATTCATCTGATCATACGAATTTAGATATTTTTTAACACCCTAAATTTGATCTGTTATAAGTCTAATGTGTCATATTAACCACCGAAGCCACAACAATTTAATTTTTTTATTATGATAAAAATTATAAAAGTTGAATCCTAAATAATAAAATCCATAATGACAATAAATTCTTACAAAAGCTGAAACTTTATTATACAAAATACAAATCAAAATAAGTTCAAATATAAATTTACATACTAATACATATAAAGGAATTATAGACATACATATCCATTAAAATAATTGAATGTGTACTCTGATATGTATATAGATGTCAAAAAATTTTGCAGTGACGATGTTCTACGAACTAATTTGGTCTACTTAATTGCGAATAGAAATATTTGAATGTTAAACTTTACAAGCTCAATAATATACTACTACTCTAACATACATCATGAAATTAGAAAACTTAAGCATACAAAAGTATAATCATAAGCTATGAATATAGACATGTTTCATTATTCTAAGGTATATCATACTTATGATCAATCTATTAGAATTGCTCAATAATATAGTATCATATTTACTATAGTCTTTGTTCTTAAGACTTGGTCATAGAGTTGCATCAATAATGATAAATTATCTGATGTTACTTATCAGATAAATAAAAATATTAAATATTCAATCACAACCACATAAAAAAAATATCACCTAATCTCGTTAAGCAGACAAGTGATGTGATATGATAACATATGGCGTCAAATAAGTAATCAAGTATCAATAGTATAGGTGATACTCAATCTCACCGAGTATTTTCACCTTATAAACTTAAGTATGGTATTATACCAAATAAGAGAATTGGCATCTAATATAATCTAATGATATCGATACTCTTGAGCGGTATCAATATCTAATTGACTTACTCGAATATAAGTCTAATTTTAATATTGATACTCATAATTCAGTATCGAAATCAAAAGATCACTTTCGATACTCCTTAAACGAGTGTCGATACACTATGAAGGTTTGGTCTATATTTGAACTACAATTTAATATAATTTCGATACCTTATGAACAATATCGATACTCAAACCTAGAAATGACTATTTTAAGATCGAAATTCACTTCCAAACCCCTTTACACACTAAATTTAAGGCCTCACTATATTTATAAGGTTCAAGAGTACGTGTTTAAGTTGTCATATGAATGTGTTTAAATGATTTTCAATTTTTTTTTTTATGTTAAGTTGCATCTTTATTCAAAAAATGAATAAAATTTAAAATTGAGTCTAAATTCGTGAGTTATAGTTCAAATTTTATAACATGACATCTCTAATTCAAGTTCAACTCCTAGACTAGTTAGTAGTGTTACAAGAGATATGAAGGAGGAACAACAAAATTCTATTTATTGTATTAATAATTTAGTATATATTATTAACCTTGAGGTCGTAGGATCGAGTCCCACGGAGGGCATTTTATAATTTGGAGGTCTCATACGGAAGCTGTTCTCAACCTAATGTTGAGGCAACCTACTATCTTACCTCCCCCTTACCCCATTACATATAGGAACAAGGGACATCCATTTTTTTATATTATTAAAATAAAAATATAATATTATATATTATCAAAATACATTTACCCATAACATATCATCCAAACCCAATTATATTAACCAATGACCCATACCCATTTCTTTAATCACATTACACCAAAACCATTAAACCTTAACCCATTATCCAATTAGCCCTTAAATGTGACCCAAATTATTACACTGCCAAATTTCAACTTTTATGAGACAACCCTAGAGTTCCCATAATCAACAGTCGCCGCTTCCTTCCAGAAGCCTCCAAATGCTCCAGTCAGCACTTCTAACCGTACATTCTAATTCAATAATTGCTTAAAATAAACTAGGATTAATATTAAAGATTCTATTTTTCAAGTTTAGTCCTCTAGGTTCTTTAATCTCCATAATTTGACACTTTAAGTTAGGAAAAACTTTTAATCAACTCACCTAGCATAATTAGGTCTTTTAATCGATTGCATCCGATTTTAAATATAAGACAATGTTAACTTACTACGGAATCAATAGTATATCTTCCATAATCATGCTTAGGGGGTGACTACTAGTGATTCACGAAATAGGCTAACATCATTTTCAAAACCGTATCATTATTTCTCAATTCCCGAGGTAATGCTCGTTTAGGGGGACAATAATTAATCTTCTGCATTCATGCTAGGAGGTGAATGTTATTAACTTTAATAAACGAATATCCTCTTTAAATTTACATCTATAGTGATTTCTAAATTAAATAAGTATCGAACTCAAAATTTTCAATTTTTTAAATATATGGTAATCGACTAGGTACCAATTTTAGGGCGCTATGGGAGTACTAACCCTTCCCCACGTGTAACTGACTCCCGAGCTAATTTTTTGGTTTTCGCAAACCCCAAATTTGATATTTTGATAAAAATAAAATGTTTTATTAAATTACCCGATTTTTATGGTATCTCAATCGCACCTTAAAATGATTGGTGGCGACTCTCGACATTTCCTAAAATCGTTTCAAAAGCCCCATCATTACAACTAGTCGACTTTTCTCCCGAAGATCGATTGCGAAAAATATATATATAATATAAAATTAAAAAAGATTAAGAATTAGAAGAAAAATAAATGATATTCTATGTGAAATTAAGATTAAAACAAATCAAATTTACAAGATTCAGTGAAGCAACTAATACAAATATATATGAATAAAGCGTGAATTCAAAACAATAACAAAATATAAAAAAGAAATTAAATGAAGAAATAATTTTCTGAACAAACTTTTATTGGCTACTTCCTTTTTCCCCCCTCAAATTATACAAAATAAGAATGACTATTTATAGGCTCTCAAAAAATCTTAAAAAAAAATCTTAGAATATTTTCAACGGTAAAGGAATTGTTTTTTTCCCTTCAAGTTCAAGGTTCGAGGAATGTTCGGGATGTGAATGTTTAATGTTAAATGTTAAATGGTTGAAAATTATCTTTGAACATATACTATCTTATACTTACCTCGTATTAATAAAAATTTAATTAAGGTTTTAAAATCCTATCTACATTCCAATCTGTTTTTTGGGCTTGAAATAAAATATGTCCAAAACGAGTTTAAGCCCAATTTAGAACTCTTTTTCCATGTTTTTTCATTTTCTTATTTTGTATTTTGTATTTTTTTTATAATATTTATAAAACTAAGTAAATGATAGATATATATTCGTAGATAAAAAATATATGTATAAGAAGTCAACTGAACAAAAAATTAATAAAAATAGAGAATTATCCATAACGACCAAATAGTCCAATACAAATAAAAGAATGACCAAAAATGATTCATGTATGTCTAAAGCAATTTAAATTTCAAATGAAAACATTGAAAATAACAATTATTTTGTTTCTTTAAACAATTTCGTCTAATTAATTATCAATATGAATTAAGATTAAGGATGTAAAAGAAATCAGATAAATTATAAACAAGTTTAATTAATTAAGTTAAAGTTCGATCAAATTTCTAACGAACTAAAGTAAATTACTTAACATCTTACTAAAAAAACTTGCAAACAACTCAAAAAAATAATACATTAAAATCTTAATTAAAATTAAATTAAAAATACAATGTAAAATTTTTATGTGCTTATTATCTATGTTGAAGCTTAAATTTGAGCTTGAAGCAAATCTAAATTATAGTTTAACGAGTTAAGTCTGAAAATATTTAATGTAAAATTTCTTCAAGTTTGAATCGAACTTCAATTCGATCGAACTTAACAAT